AGAAATATTTCTAATTTTCTTGAAAAAAATCTCTCGCTAAAGAACTTTTGAGGAGAGCTTCTATCTTGAACTTAATTTATTCTTGAAGTGCCGGACTTGAAATTTTCATTGAATTCTTTTGAAGAATTTTCAATAGCCTTGAGAATTTCATCCATCAAACTTAAAATACTATCCGCCAACTGGTGAAGGACAATAATACTTCAACTTTTCATAAATTAGCTTTCATTAAAATGAAATCTTCTTTATTAAAATTTTTTTTATTAAAGTTTCTTGACATTATTAACCTTATTTTTTACATTGAATGATGGTAAAACAGGTAGAAATAACTTTTGTAGTGGAATGCATAATTGAAATAAAACATCTTTTGGAGCATGAACTCGGTATTGTTTATATTCGTCCAAATAGGGTTCATATAGTCATTTTGAATTTTTTTGAGTTTCTTGATTTATTAACTCATCAATATCTACACCCAAGTATCTGTTAGAAATAGTACTAGTTGCAATACAGTAAAGTGCAGAAATAAAAACTTATCGACTAATCAAGTCTCGTAACAGCATGATGCCCTAAAGCGAAATTGCTCGTCGATAACTGTTGCGGCATCTGTGGAAAATCACTTCCAAGATACAACGATCAAATAAACCAATTGTGCAACAATCACAAATGATTTTCAAAACTCTCAAGTGTACTCCAGAAAATATGTATAAAATTGAGTATAATATTTTATTGAAATAGGAAGATACAATTTTTTATTGTGATGATTTTCTAATGCCCAAATGTATGTTTATATATGCAAAAAAATGATGTAACTGTCTCCACCATAATCCAGTATTATTTGTAATTTTTATGGCTAGTGGTAATTGGTTGTTAATACTAGACAGTTAAAAACTATCATATTTTATTGGCTAGTTGACCCATTAAATAATTTCGAAAATGGTTAAAAATAATAATAATTTATTATTAGAATTAATTAAGCCCAAGAATCTCAATCAAAGACTTTTAATATAATGCGTGAGGTGTGACTCGAACCCTTGACCTCCCACACAAATTCCATACTTTTCACCAATTGGACACTTCATCTGAATTAATTATTTCTTTCACATATTTTATTTATTGTATAAATATCTAACAGTATCCTTCCTCATTACTTTGAACATATTCAGTTTCTGAATATGATTTTGTTTGAGAAGAGCTTGACTTCGATTTCTTTGAGGTAGATAAGTCATTTTCTCTGAAATAACAACTAATTCTTCTAGCATCTTACATTGAGAAAATATAGCTAATAATCTTGATTTTTCTGTAAGAAAATCAACTTGTTTTTCTTGTTCTTTCTTTGAAGGTTTTGGAATATCAACGTTCTTTTGTTTTTGAATCCATGAAACAACTTTTAGACAACAATTTGTTTCATGAAATTTGGACCACCACTTGACTTTGAGTCTCTGAATTATATGTTCTCATTAAATTCGGAATTTGTATTTTGAACAAGATTGAAATCCCAGCAAAAGATCCACAAAATCTTGAAATTATGGGCGAATTGGAACAAAACATTTTCTTGAGACCTTTAAAATGTTTTTGCCTCTTTTTTGGAATAATTCGAATTCTTGACGAGTAAGACTGAGTAAAATCATCTCATCAAATCCAAAATATTCGAACCAAGTTTGAAATCATTTTGGAAAACTTGAAAGGCATGCTTGGTTGAAAAGAATAAACCAAGATTGGGTCACTGATCTAAAGTAAAAAACATGATACCAAGCATTTTGATAATCAAAATAATTGAAATGAGATTCGAATGTTTCATCCTTAGACAAAAGCATTCTCTTCTCATCCCATGGGTTTTGTCCCCAGACTTCGTAAGACAATACCCTTTGAATACTTATTTTTGAGAAATCAATTTGTTTGGGGTTTTGAGGATTTTGAGTTCGGGTTATAATGGCTTATCCTAATTTAATAAGGATGGTTTCATAAAAAATTCCTTGATTTTTTGATATTTTTGGTTATAAAATAAAATTGAGAAGGAAAAGTATCTTGAATGCATTCATTTAAAGATAAATACCTACAAACCCATGAAGTTTCCATTTCAAGAATAGGCAAATGAATAGGTTTAGTAAAACAATGAAAATATTTTGAAGGATTAACGTAAGGTAATTTTCCTGAACTGGGTTGAACGGCTTTTTTGAAATTTGAAGGTGAATTTTCTGGTATATTGAAAATATCTTTGTTTTGGAAATTTTCAAGTTTTTGATAGGTAGAAATAGACAATTTTTCGAAGCTTTTGTTGTTCTTTGAGAAGTAGAAGATGAACTTTGTTCTCCTCTCTTTGAACCTTGAATATAATCCTCAATTGAGAGTAGAGGAATAGACATTTTCTTCTTATTCTTCTTAGAAGAAGGATCCATATTGAAAAATTCTCTCAATTTGAAAATCTCTCTAATTATTTTCACTTAAAGAAAGTTCTCTCTATAAATTCTCTTGCAAGAAAATCTGTAAGAACATTAGAATTTCCTTATATCTATATATATATATAGTCGAAACATGACAAAATAGTTAGCCATCTTGCAAAAATTTGTTTTGAAACAAAATTTTTAACGTCTTTTGAAACTTTGCAATTTTTTTTTTAAAACATATTCTTTATCGATCAAATCGTCTTATAATTTTGAAATGCATAAAACTATTGATAAAATTTCTCTTTTGATAATAGAATAATTCAAGTGGGGTCCAATCCACACACTTGAGTGAAACCTAACCAACTGTTTTTGATGAGACTCTTTTGAAATTTGCTTTAATATCCCACTATACCCTACGTCGGATGCATCTGTCTCAACGATAATGAATGCAAGTTGATCAATAATTGATCATGAGACGCTTTTGATAGCTTTTTTGACATTTTGGATCGCTAAAGTATGCTCTGAGGTCCACGGTTGTGGATTTCACAAAGTAGCTTATATTTTTTATAAAATCAGCAACATACAGCAGGACATTTGATTTTAGGTTGCTGTCTCCTACATTTCAGCTATGTGATTTTGAATGTAACGTTACACATGAACATACATACTAAAAATTCTACACTACATATACGACTCAGCAAACATATGTGGAACAAAAATATCTAGGGATATATCTGCCTTGAAATCTACATTACGATTATGATTCTTTATTTCTTATATATATTTAAACCAGGAAAGTGACTTGCCTGAGTTTTCTGTGGAAGCATCATCTTCTTCGTTTTGATGGTAGTGTCAGATATTGAAGCTTCAATAGGCCTCTTGCCAGTGTCCTTCATGTGGGTAGTCTTCCTCAAACGTCCGTAGTTGGATTGCAGGTATCTCACATTTGATTGTTGGACTTTTACATTTTTATTTTTACTATAAATTTATAGTATTTATAGGGAAAAAATTGTTAACAAGTAATATTTGAAATTTAATAAAATAATAGTTAAGAACTTAAGTGGTGTAATTTCCACAAAAAATTAAAAAGGCTCATGAGCTAGCCCGACTAATTTTAGGCTGGCCCATGGACTGAACCCAGTCTAGCCCTTTGGTCATCAGGCCGAGCCCGGCTCACCTAATGGACAGAGCTGAGACTAGGTGGCCAGCCCATATGACCAGATATCGAAGGTCTCAATGATGATGAACTCCGATTAAGATATAGCAGTTTTCTGAAAACATGGGACATATTTGACAAAGAAATGATTGTTTTTTTCTCTATCTTTAGACAATAGCTCGTCTCTCCAACTACATTTTTTGACCGTCTTGCAGCCTTACTCCCTTCTTTCCAAGGTCCATCTTTCTCTCTGAATATCTGTTTAAACTTTTGTTTAGAGTTGTATGTATTATGTATATGCCCTGAATAACACTAATCTTGTTAGGGCAGTTCTTGATTGAATATTGAGTCGAGCAAGTCCTAAGCTCGCTCCTGCATAATCTTGTTATTTGGGGTTCTAATTTTACTTATTCTTATGATTTAATTATTTTCTATCCCGTTACTCGTATGTTGGAGTTGAAATTTCTTTGCACGCTGGTTATTTGATGTACTCAATATATGTGTTTTCTACAAATCTGGGAATTGGGTTTTATGTTTATGTACAGTTCTTTTAGTAATTGTCTATTTTCTTAACTTCATTTTTCCTCTTGGGACCATATGGGGTTCCTGTCAGATTATTTTCTAACTGTTTTAGCTCTTTCTTTAGAAACAGAGGGTCTAATTTGGAAACTTTTCACGTGATAGTCTTGAATCGATTCGAGTCATCTTATAAATATAGGATATAGAATCAAAGGTATATTATGGTTAAGATGAAAATCATAATTCCTAACAAAGTCTGTCGTTGGAATTGTTTTGTATCCTTGACCTATTGGATTTGGCCTTGTTCTGCGCAATTGTATTGAAATTCCAAAGGAAATATCATGCACAGTAAGACCTTCTTGTCTAGGTTGAAGCATACTAAACAATTTGCAAATTACTCGTGTGGGAAATGAGTAAGGTCTGAAATTTGATGGCTCTCGATAAAGGCCATTAGTATCTGTCTCCAAGCTGTTCATATATCAAGTTCTGTGATCAATCAGATGGTTTGTATTACAGAACTCACAATGTGATGTTATAGCTTTGTCCTCCCAATAATAACTTTCTTAGAAGTTTCATAAAGTCTAGCAAATTTTAGTTATTGTACCTCTACAAAATACTCAGTTATTTAAACCTATCTTTGAACTGAGACTAACTTTTACACAGATGGCATTCGGTGATAACCATTTCTGCTTCTTCTGCAATACTTTAATCCCGAATATTATTTACGAAATAATTTCTCAAAGATCTGTTGCTTGCGTATTATAGTTGCACCTGGTATCCCTTACGTGGTATTGTCCGTTTGATATATTGCAAATATAGGATCTTGAAGAATGGATTCTGACATTTTAGTACACAATGGTGGATGTCACTGCAAAAAGGTGAGATGGAAAGTGAGAGCACCATCCAGCGTTTTAGCCTGGCAATGCAACTGTTCTGATTGCTCCATGAGAGGCAATATGAGCTTCGTCGTCCCATCAGAAAGGTTTGAGCTTTTTGAAGATTCCAAACAATTCCTTACCACCTATACCTTCGGTACACACACAGCGAAGCACACTTTCTGCAAAGTTTGTGGAATAACCTCCTTCTACATTCCAAGGTCAAATCCAGATGGCATAGCAGTTACATTCAGATGTGTGGATCCTGGCACACTAACTCATGTGGAGATCAGGCAGTTTGATGGAAACAATTGGGAAAGCTCATACAGTAATACAGGCATTGCTTCTTGTTCGAAAGTGCCGGATAAAAATTCTGAATGATTTCCGATGGAAGTAATCCAAGCCATTAGGTCATGAATGATGAAATCAGTTTATAGAGGATAAAATCCTTGTATCTCCAACAACTACCGTAATGAGTCAATGATGATTTCAAATGATTTAGCACAATTTGCTTCCGAGTGACCACAAGTTTCCGATTCCTTCTCGGTTGATTAAGTGGTGCTCTTGGCACTCGTATGAGGCGGAGATGGGGCTTGAATTGTGCTAAACTATGTTACAAATTTCATGAATTGTGTTGAAAATTTATATAAATCTTTTAGGAGAATCGTAACATTGAATAGAAATATTAGTGAGTTTGAAAATGCTTGACTGCTACATTGTTAGAATTTAGGTGTGACCCGAATTCTTTGTTGAAATAATTGAAAATTTCTAATTGAAGTGCACGTCAAGAAGAATTCAATTTGGAATACTATAGGAGTCCTATGTCAAGTTGAAGTTCTATTTTGGAAGTCCGTTGAGAGTTAGAAATTGGTATTGGACTTGAAGAAAAGTTGGAAACAAAAACAAATCCGGGTAGAACGCCCGGCGCCGAGCATGGGCGCAGCGGCACCACCTGACCTTTTTCCCGTTTTTCTCTCCTTTTTCGTTTTGAAGCCGATTTTTTTTGGCATCCTACTTCATCAACAACTTAGAAGTGTCAATCCGGGTGGTCCGGGCCGGGTCGACCCGCCAACATGTAAGCCCGGGAACGGCCCGCGTGGAAAAAAGTCCGCCCGCTGCGGGTTTCAGGCCGGTTACGGGTCGGCCCACAATTTTGGACTACAACCCAGGCCCGCCCGCTGATCCATCCGGGTTGAGCCCATGCGGGTAACGGGTC